GGGTTATATGCTCGAATTTCCTTGTACTTGTCAGAAGACGAGCAGCAGCGTTTTAAACCATCTGAAGATGAGAGAGGGGAGACTGGTTAACACCATATTAAAGAGCATTGTAATAGTCAAGGCGGGAAGTGATAAAAGCATGGATTGCAATCTCAAAATCATTAAAAGAAAGGAATGACTTGACCTTGCTTAACAGCCTCAGGTGGAAGAAGCTAGATTTCACAGCTGAATTGATTTGCTTGTCAAATCTTAAGTCGCCATCAAACATCACCCCTAGGTTTTTTACAGTCGACTCCAGATGTCGAGCCAGGGGGCCCAGGCCCTGGTTAGAAGCAGGTTAGAGGAGACGCATCGCGACGGGGGAACAGATCTTGACGTGACACTGGCATGTCAATGCAGGGAGATGAAATTCCGGAATGAAAGAAATTCCTCAATGACCGGTGTGTTTTCATAGTTTCCATGTTAAGGGAGCACCTTAGAGGCAAAACATTATTTGTTGTGTGTTTATAGTGTCCAAAAAAAAAAAAAAAAATCACATAAGAAGACATGCATTTGCAAGTGCAAGTTATAAATCTCGAGCACAAGTGATATTAAATACATTAGGACTGCAAGGCTACGGCCTCTAATCTGCTCAATCGGTAGCAAGCCTGGCATCATATCTGGGGCCTTATTACTCCACTACACAATAACAGTATATTCAGAGTATTACAAATTTACAGCACAGCACAGACTATGTAATGTGGTAACATTAAATAAACATGTTCTTATCTTCCATTATTTAAAACAGTCCATAACACAGTCATGGGCAGGAGTCCTCTTTCATGCTTTGCTTCAGTCCTTTTGAAATCCAGGAGCTCAGCACCAGACTGGCCTGTACTAACCTTTTCATTAACAGGCTTTATGACTGGGTCCAGCTTGGCCTGTTTAGCTTCTGATTTCTGACCAGCTTCAGCCTGCTGTGACTTGAAATACTTTAGCAAATTTGCCTGTCGTTTTTCACATTTTAGCTCTGTAGCTAACATAATGTTACACTGAATGTGCAGCTGACCCAGTGTGACCTGCACAGGCTGGTTACGCTGTGACATCATTAGCCAAACTGCCTGTTTTCATTTTATTTAATTATTCTAGTTTCAGTCTATTATGCTGTTGTGAAAAGCTAGTTGTACAAAAAGTATTAGACCTTGTACTTTTTATATATTATTGAAATCATTTGTTTCTTTCGTATGTAAATGAGGTGCCAGTCCATCTAATAGGTTCTGGTCATTTTTGAGAGGTGCGCCCCCCCCCCCCCCCCTCCGGTGGCTGAGGGACACTGTCACTGGGGTTATCAGACTGTGTGAATGCACCTTTAAAAGGAAATACAGATGGATTTTTAAAAGCCTGATTTACAGATGCATCACGCTTTTTGTCTGTGGTTGACTGGTTGTTTACTCCCTATCACTTAATGAAGCGAGATCACCCATGAAGACACTGACAGACATTGTTAAAGGTCTAAAGTAAAAAAATATTTGGAGTCTGTTGATGGTGCATTCACTGCTCTCGGTTTTCCCTGTTTCCTGCAGCATATGCAGGGTCTTTCCTTTGTCTGCACGCTCCGTGATCCCACACACTCATCTGCAGGCCTGATTAAAGAAGAGGAATAAGACTCTTCCACTCTCCTGCTCTCATCACAGTTTCCTGTTCAATCTACCTGACAGGCTTTTCACAGGTACAAACTAATCCTGCCCTCAGGCTCGCACTGAGCTGCTCACACTAATCCAAAGTCAGAGTGATTCTGTTTCATATTGTCAAACTCTGCAACATCCCTGCTTCTCTGCTCACAAGACAAAGCGGCTCACAGTCCTATCCTTCCTCAGTGATGAAGGTCAGCGAGCAGACATGAAAGGTCCGGCAGAGTCCATTCATCAGACACAGAGGGCTCCTGTAGACCCATGGGTTTGTGGAGTGATTAGCGGAGAGGCAGGTAGGAGGATGAACTAGCATCCTCACAGAGGTTTACTGCACCTGCATTTATCTTAGAAGTGACACACATATGCCCTGCTGCACAGACTGCTGCTCCTCTTTAGTCTGGTAGTGTCAGTTTTAGGCACTTCAGGCCTACAGAGTCCAGACTCACAGCAGGGGCATTGTGGTTTACGGTCTTAGACCCCAAGACTGCCAGGTGCCCTGGGACCTGACAATTATTGTGATTTATTAAATGTTTGTTAGTAGTAGTGGTCATATTCGTAATATAGCCAGCAGCATCGGTGTATATCTTGTGTACAGTATATTATAATGCTGTGAACCAGTGGTTCAAGGTTTTCCTCACCTACACATAGTTTTTATTTTTATGAACACTCCTCATTATTACTGATGTTTTGTCCCACAGAAAGAGGGGCAGCAAAAGTTGAGAGGAGTTGAACTTTGAGGCTCAGCCATTAGTAAACGATTTCATTCTGTACTTAGCAGCAGTTTTCTCACACTGAAGTGCTTTACACTATTTTCTATTAACTCACGCAAACACTGGTAATATCATCAATGTCATCAGTCCCTTGCTTAAGGACACTTATGGACTGGACAAGCCAGGTATTGAACTGTCGACCCTGCAGTTAGGGGATGGCCCGCTCTACCTCCTGAGCCACAGCTTCCCCATTTACTGCTAACAGAAAGACTAACAATATGTTTGTGAACAATCAGAGCATCTGGTTTGTTTCTATTCGTAAACCTGGTTTGTGTTTGTCATCTTGAAGACGAAGGTCCAGTAGATGAGCCATCTAGGAGGTGGAGTAGGGCCTACTAACCCACATTTATGGTCCTGATAACAACTGACAACAACCACTTCATGATGTCTGGTTCACATTCTGTCAAATTTGAAGCCTATGGACTTCACATTATACGATGAAGTGCTGCATGTCAGGTGTGAAGGTTTCACCAGGACGATGGCACGGTGGACAAACTGCTGGCTGCTGGTGGACACTGAGCACAACAGAGAATCAGGAAACGCTTGGAGTCCCTGTTGTCCTCCTGCATCAGAAACATGATACAGTCAGACAGGTTAGTCAATAAAGGCTTGTTTCATGGTCCTTACTCCTGCGTGAATCGGTCTAAATTATGTTTGTGTTCATTCTGAAGGGCTCTGAATACTCACCACAGTTATTCTGCGAAACGTTAAAGCCATGCGCTGTGCAGTGCTATCAGTCCTCATCCTTGCTTCCTGAAGCTCACACTGTCACGTCTCTGTGACAGGCTGACGCTTCACGTATCTGTCCACACTCACAGCCTCTTGTTTCCTCTTCAGGTATCTCAACACCACTTCCTCCTCCTCCTCACAAACTGTCTGACCTGGGACCAGCAGCTGGACATGGCTCTCTGCAGCCTTCAGGGCGTTTCACACTAAAACTCCTGATCCTGACTTCTTTTTATTTGTATGTCAGAAGACTGAATTGTTCAGTTAACATTTCATTTCACAATATTTTGTACATTTTACATTCTATTTTATACTGATAAAACTTTTAGAGGGTCTCACTTCTCCCTTTTGGCGAAAACTGGTGTATACTGTATGATTTTTGTTAAATAATGAGAACATTGTTTACTCTTCTAGCTCTTTCTTTCTGTCTTGATCTGTAAAAGCCAACTGCACTCTGTAAAAAATACATGTAAAAAAGCTGTAGTATTCTGGCAGCTGCAGTGCCACAGTATTACCATAGGGATTTAAAAGTTATTTTCATGTTAAAGAAAAAGAAGATACTAACCCAGGAATTTTCTTTATAAAAATGAGAAAACATATCATTGAAAATATATTGAAAACAAGTTTGGTCTTGAAGGATTTACCTTCAGAGGGTCAGCAGCTGGAAATCATACTTGGGGCTTTAATTTTGATGGTCCCTCTGCTGCTCACTCCTATTAAAGGGCCCCTTACTGTGTTTCTACTGTTTACTCTTCATGTTTTTTGTGAAGCTCCAGGTAAAAAAGTTTCAAGAGGGCACAGTTTTACTTTGTTTCTCCAATATTAAACATGTTGTTGTTGCAGCTGCTGGAGCTAATGAGTAATATTAATGAAGTTTACTCATTTTATTAATTGATTATTACCAGAAGCAGAGAGCGGAGGCCTACAGAGCCCAGGAAGGGACATAGAAGGGAAAAGAAAATCGCTGGTTGACTTTGCAAGATCTCGCTAAGTCTATTTTTTTTTCAACCATTAATTTTTGTCTCTCCTATGTCCCCTCTGTAGGGCCCAGAGCAGCCTGATGATCAGAACCCTGAACGCCTCTGTTACACTGGTCCAAAGGGTTTTATGTTTACTTAAGATGGAGTCTGATCACGTTTACACATCATGTGTCATGGTGTCATAAATTAAAGGATAAGATCCTAAAATGCGATTATTTGCCTTCATTTAAAAAGGTAAATGTCTCATTTTAATGGAAAGTGATTTGAAGTGTTTTTATTACCAATGTTACTGTAGTATTATTGTAGTATAGTGTTATTCTAGTGCAGTATTACTGAGGTATAGTGCTATTCTAATGCAGTATGACTGTAGAATAATGTCATTATACTGTAGTATTATTAAAGTCTACTCCATTGACCATTGAGACCTGAGTCCAGACTGGAGACAGATGTGGACCCCCGCAGCTCTGAGCCTAATGGGAACACTTACACAGTCATTAGTGTAGTGCCCTTTCAACATCAACAATTTATATATTAATTAACTGTCACCTGTCAATCAACCTCCGGATGTGTTTGTATCGGATTTGAACTGAACATGTGACCTCAGTCTGACTGTCACGGGTCACAGGGTGTGTGTTTCACCAGCTCATCCACAGAACCCAACCGTCTGCGCATGCTCATGCTTTAGAGTGCATCCTGCTGCAGCAGGTTCACCTGGTCAGGTAATCTACCTGTGTGAGCCAATCAGGTGCTTTGGCGCAGTCCTTTGGCTGCATGGCATGAGCTGCTGGTTTAAACCCAAAGCCCCTAAGCCACCGGAAACAGAGATCCCGATCAGAGGGAGGAGGTGTGTAACGCGGAGGAGGCGGAGGACGCTCCTCATTATCCCTCCGCGGGAAGATAGGTGGCGCGTGTGCTCGGCGATCTCCCGCCTGTTTATGTTGCACAAGCCCGGTGACAGGCTGCGGTGGGAGGCGGCACACAAACCGCTCTGACACCGGATTGTCAGAACCGACGCTCCCCTCCAGTCCACCGCGCTGCTCCAGCACCGGGACTCACCGGGAAACCGGCCAGATTTTATTTATTTTTTAATCTCAGGGAGGGGGTCCAGGCGTTGCTGCAGTACTTTTTTTCTTCCTCGCCTCCTTCAGCGGGAGGAACCACGGACCTTTCCGGTAGGTACCGTCTCCTCTCTGCTTCTCTTTCAGGAGCCAATCAAAGCGCGCCGCTCACCTGTGCTGTTGTACCTGCGCAGCTAGGTGAGAGCGGAGGGATGCGCGTTCCCGCTGCCTCGCCGACGCGCCAGGTGTTGGATAGATGTAGAGACATGTTTAGCTTAATCAGGGCCGAAATAGGGGGGGGTCTGGTTTTCTCCAGAGATGGCGGCGGAAAATGTGCCCGCGTCCTGCTGCCGCCGCTCCCCGCTCAGGCATCCAGAGCCGCTGCTACTGCATCACCGACATACGGAAGACCAATAAATGTACAAACATAGTGTGACGATCCACGGGTCATTACAATAGTAAGGAAAGTGTCAAACACATCACCTGTCAGATTACCATTCACCTGACAGGTGCCGCTCTGCGCCCGCACGATTCAGCAGAGAAGTGCGATAAAATATCTGAGTCGTGTTTGTGGTTCTCTTGACCCTGCGCTCACATTACACAACTGCATGCCTGGATTCCCAGCTTATATAACCTCACATTCAGTTTCCGTGTCTGATATACTGCTGATTAATGTATTGATCAGTGATTGATGAGGCTGAGGCCTCTCAGGTGAATGTTTGTAGGCGCAGAAAAACGCGTCAGTCCAAAGATAAAAAGTTTGGAGTCAGAAAGTGTGTGTGAGTGTGTGTGTCGGATGTGGAGGACGCTGCACCAGCAGGAGGAAGCACTGAAGTGCGTGTGTGTTTCTGTTGTGTGTCCGCCCTCCTCCTCTGTCAGACCAGCAGAGACGCTCCTCACATCAGAGATCGGGCGGACGGGGACGCAGGGCGGCGGGTGCGCTCGGTGCACACTCCAACAAATCAAACTCACTAAAACCAAAAGAAACAGTGGAGAATTTTTATTAATGGGATTCTATCCTCCAGAACTTTCCCAAAAGTGCCAAGTAAAGTGAGTCCGGGTACAGGACCTGGTTCTAGGATTTACTTTGTGTGTGCTGGTTGTCAGGGAGCGAAGGAGCAGCGGAGCCGGATCGAGGAGCCCATGCGGACTGGAGTGACTTATCAATGAAGCAGGACATCATGGCGGAGGGCCCCCGCTGCAAGAGGCGAAAACAGGCCAACCCCCGGAGGAAGAACGGTAAGAGAGCACACACACGAACACACAAAGTCGCGCAACAACTCCCGCAAACTCTGCTGCTGTGTCCCCGCCCGTCCGCTCGCCTGGCCCGGGCCGATAGGTCCCGTCTGTTGGCCCGGCATGAAAAGTTTTCTAACGGGACTTTGTGGAGCTTCTGTGGGGCGGCGGTGACCGTCTGGAGCCTGCGGGTGTCGGGGTGTGATGGAGCGACCCGCTGGGTGGAGAAGGCAGGAAAACCGTTAGACTGGATCCGCGGGTAAATCAGCGGGTCCGCGCCGCTCGTGCTCTCGGTGTCATGTGGAAATAAACGGCAAAGAGTTTGAACAGGTTTCCCGTCGTGTTGTCACTTCTCGGTCCTGTCTAGCCCCAGGGTGCTGCACTGTCACGGCGAAACGCTTTTCTGTGCCACAGCGCTTCATTTTATTCTGCTGGATGAGAGTTAACGTGCTCGTGTAACTCGCGGATTCAGTGTCCTGTTATTTCTGTCACAGAGCTTTTCTGCAGGTTTAGTCACATTAGTGTAAAACCTGTTTAGATTAAAGGCTTTTTAAAAATTTTCATGTTTGTTTGTTTGGTGGGGGAAGGTGGAAGTCGTTGTTTTCACCAACTCACAAAACCATAAAGTCAGCCAGCCCTCTTTTTTACTTGGAGAGGTCACAAACGAAAACCTGCCGAGCTGTTTGAACTTATCTCGTGTTGTTGTTAAACGTTGTATTAAATCCACTTTTCCCCGTTGTCCTTTAAACACTCGTGCTGCTAAGTCTTTGTGTCTCTGAATAACGAAACCACTTGTATTTATTCACAGCTATCAGATATTTAAATCCACAGCTGCAGCCTCACACACTCATGTCTAATTCTCGAGTTAAGTCAGCGACAATAAAAGCTCATCTGCTGCCTAAGAAGACGTGTTAAGGCCTCAGTCCGTCTCCAGACCGATTTAAAGGGACTTTAATGCAGACAGAAGCGGCAGCGTCCCGGTTTAAGGCAGGACTGAACCCACAGGATGACTTTGTTTCTGATGCCGCTAAAAGTTACAGATAATTTATTTTAGTTTAGAACAGGCTGATATTTATTTTTAAGTTTGTCAAAAATAAATATCTGTCCTACAAACACCTCATTATTGGATATTCCTACAGTTAAAAAAAATTTAATACTGAAACTAAACTCTGTGTATTTAAATATTTTCATTCAACCCAGAAAAAATGGAATTTTTGAAGTGCGTTTCTTCTGTCGTCTTGGTTTTTTTTTTCTTCTTTGGATGCGACTCGGTCTCCTCCTCCCTGGGGGGTTGTTGGTGGGGTGAGGGGGGTCAGGCCAGGGCCTGGTGTAACAGGATCTCTGCAGACTGCCGCCTCCACCTCGCTGTGTCTGCCCGTCACATCCAGCTGTGAGGCTGCAGCTGTTTTCTGATGAAGGTTTTTTTTTATATTGCCCGTTTACTGCATGAAGTTTGGAGGTAATGATGTCCTCATAACTCCTTGTAAACCAGCACCAACAAACCTATGTGCAAGACAGCCATGAGTTTATTTAAAATTCTAACAAATTTTTGCCAGGTTGAATTTTGAGAAAATGTGTCTAAAATGATGCTGAGAACATTTTGCTTTTGTGGATTTGTCTGTGGTGGCTCCTACCCTGAGGTCCCTCCCTTTTTTTTATCTCCCATTAAAGTGTTTTTGTGGCATTTTGTGCTTATCTGAGTCCACTCAGTCATGGCTATGATGGTACGGGTTGTCACATGTTGTGCTCATTGTAAAACCCCTGACACGTGTCTGTAACTGTGGCCTGTATAAACAAAACTAATATTTTTTGTTCAGATTTTAAGGAAAGAAGGCATTGAGATGAATCCTCTCGTCTGAGAGCACAAAACAGGAGAGACCAGGATCAGTACTGGGATCAGAATAGTTCGACAGGGACTGTTTTTTAAGAAGTGACACTAGAATCAGATGAACAAGATTCCTCCACATCTGTGAGGCCGGTCGGTATTTTCTGGGACATGCAGCATCCAGTGGCATGAGGCGGTGCTGGTGTCTGGCTGCTGCCGGACCATGCACGCCACATGTCTCACAGTCGTGCCGTTGTCCAGTCAGAGGCTCTGCTGCTGTTTACTGTCTCCCTGTTTAAAGCCCTTCACACAGAATGGTGTGGACATTTTCATGTAGTTGCTGGTGTAATGAACTGTGAAGAAACATCACGTGTAATGCACATAATTTACCTTTATGAACACATGTCAGCACTGTGGTGTCAGGAGTCATCACTAGATTTGGAGATATGGGACTTTTCATTGATACAGTGTGTATTTGGGGGGGGGGTTCCAATGCATACCTGACCCAGTTTGTCTGTTTAAAAGAGCTTCTGTAATTAATGTCACTTAAATGAAACCAGTCGCACCACTTGGATGTGGATTTTGTATTCCTAGGAGGGCCCAGCGTGACAATACTGACATAATGCAGTGTTTGTGAGGGGTTTTCTTACCCCACCATACAGAAAGCGCACTTTGTTGTACTGTGTAGTTTGGACCCTGGACCCCTGGGACACCGAGACGTCCCACAGTGATGTGGTCTTCACTGGACAAGGGTGGCCTGCTTAAGTCAGATTTTTGATACGTGTAGAATAAAAATTCATCTTTCATCACTGTGATGATATAACTAGTACAAAAGGAAGTGCTGTATTTAAGCCTATTCTTCAGAAAGCAGAATCAGGAAATGGGTAGAAAGAGTGAAAACACAGATGGCCGCCACCTTCAGGTTGTGACACTCAGGGATGCGCAGGATTTTATTTTATTGCAGACACAGAGACTGTCAGATGACATGTAAGAAAGCATTCCTGAGGGGATTCGAACCCAGCACTTTTTACATGAAGAGACAGACCTGTGCTGTTTCTGTCTCTATATGATAGTGTGACAGGAAACACAGGGCTGACTCGACGGACCAGGGCACACGGTCACTATACCAGAGGGTGAAGTAATCTGGGCCGATGCCCTGCAACCACACATCAGTGTGTTTTTCCTTTATGAGGCTCAAAAGTAGAAAGGCGCATTAGTTTAGACATGATGGGAAGCCATCAGCATGCGTCCTGACAAAACACAGTTTGTTTAAGTCACTGTGTTTTAACACAGGCATAGAATGTTCAGCTGACCAGTCTGGGTGCTGAACCTGAAGGCTGTCAGGACAGAGGCGTTCCGTGGTGGTCTGAGTTTGACACACACTGTGTTTAGAGGGAATGCGTGATTATGTAATCAGTGCAAATGAACAGTTTTCACGGAACAGTGGCAGTGATTCTTCAGAAGTGGGGCAACTATTACGCTGCTACGTTGTTATGGCTTTGTGTTGGCGGTGTGATGGAACATAACTGTGACGTTCAGAGACAGAAATCCCCAGAAAGGTTTTTCTTTTGTTTGTTTTCTAGTAAAGTTGACTTGCTGGAACTCAGCATAAAACCCTGAGACAAATGGATTTTATTAGAAGATAGGCTCGCTGCTCTCAGATGTCTCGGACCTTTGTCTTCTCCTTCCACCTCCTCCTTGTGTTTGGTATATTAGGCAGCTGCAGTCTGTTCGATTCAGCTTGTGTCGTTTCTGTTTCGGCCGCACTGAGGCCAGGAACATACAGGAGAACACAATGATGCTGCCATGACTCAACAAGCTGCGCTTCAGGGTTGTTTTGTTGTATTTAGTTTCATGAACTCTGAGCATGACCTACAGACTTTTGTCTTCCTACCGATATTAGTCAGACTTCATCATGTTTCCTCTGATCAGCTATCACTCTCGCCTGCACTATCTTGAAGTCTGAACTTCATGACAGATTCTTTGAATTTGACTAAAGGTTTGTGATGGTACAAATGTGACATCAGGATCCAGAGATGATTGTTTGGTTTCAGATTAGAACTTGGCATCGATGAAGGTCTGCTCTTTGGCAAATTCTATTTGCTTGTGTTAATGAGCAGCAAATGAGGCAGGACAAAAAACTTGTTGGTTTGGCTTTGAGTCATTCCCTCAACATAGAAGTCTTAACCCTGAAATCTTATGATTTACATTGTGAGGACCTTTGTGAGGGTGTGTCCCTGTAATGCCGTGTGCAGTCAGGTTTTATGTCCCCATAACACTCTGACAGTCTTGTGATATCATCATTTTGTCGCTCCCACTCTCCCTGACCTGAGTGCCTTTCATATCTGGTCCGCCATGCACCCCCACCCCCCCCACCCCAAACATATCCCTGAGGGCAGAACAAAGAAAGGCAGCTCCTCGCTTCTTAATTACAATTCAGAGGGACCTCATGCCGCTGGGCCCTTGGCTGGCCGCCGTCATCCCCGGTGAAAAGAAAGGAGAGGATGAGGTTAATAAAAAAAAAAGGAGGATGTACGGTGGACTGAAGGTTATATGTGCTCTCTGTAGACCTCCACCACCAGCCTGACCCACATTACTACAGTATGTCACAGCTGAATTACAGGACAGGCAGATGAGAGGCATTAAGAAAGACGGCAGTTGCATCTGAAGGAAACATTTTCCCTTAAATCTTCAGAAATGATAAATGGGACATTCCCATGTTAAGGGGTTTCTTGATTGTAGTATTTTGTTGCAAACATCCTCATTCAAGAGAAATGAGAAAGCCACAAACTACATATTTTTTCTCAGCTGTTTCTCTTGAGCAATTCTGAGGCTGTGAGATTTCCTGATAGTCATTTTTATTCCTTCAGCCTAAACTAAACAGCTCAAAGCAACTTTTCCTCTGTCATTCCCATTAATATTGCTTCTGGAAAACAGGAAGAGTGTGTTCTGGATTCCTTCCTCAGCAACAAAAGCACCTCAGGTGCCTTCAGCCTGGAAATATTTATTAAATATTGTTTTGTAGCCTCCAGGTTTGATTGTTTTCTGGTTTCACGGTTCGTTTTGGGTTCCCTCTTTTAAAGTTTCCCTCAATTTTCTTGACTCTAGAGATTGTAAAGTTTCTTTAAATTTGTTTTCTCAACTCATAGTGTCACAAATGCTAGTTGCTCCTAGATTT